TTACAAATACAGATTGTAGAAAGACAAACAACCCGGATTGATCTCAAAAATGGGATAAAACTAGTTACAAAATTGTTTAACACTAACCGTTGGCGCTACTTTCACATTTAAAACTAACTAAGATATAGCAATTTTCATAAGAATTAGTATTTTTTACTCATACATTTTTACTCACCCATTTAAGTTTTATAAATATACATTTGAGTATGCGATCCCATTAACGAGGCTCCATTTTTTGCCATATAAGAAACTAATTTTTGTAAAAAATTTTAAAGGAGTATTATTAAGTATTATTAAAGATGTTACGTAAGCAATATAACATAAAAAACTCATCCACGTGAAATTTTCTAACAATAAAAAGCCTTTCCAAGACCATTAATACCATCAATTTTCCAGAGTTACAGCGTATAACTAGCAAAGAAGTTATGGAACATTGCTTAAATATTGAGAAAGCTCTGTAACATGGAGATCATATCAACATAGTTTCAAATATATAGATTAAGATATCAACATGAATTCAAAGATTCTGATTTGATGCTCAAAATGTACATAAAGTTGAGAACACTCTTATTTTTGGAATGCTTTAGAGTTTTAGAAAGAGATTAAAAAAAAAATGCGGTTTTTAATTTGTTTTTAATGGTTGCTATATATCAAACTATTGGAAAGAGTGGTTCAATAAAACCAGAAGGTTACCTTGACGTTGTACTTTAACAAAAAGTAACTAATTTAAAAACCTCTAAATAAGAGCTGTGAAATATATAGTATTTATAGTTTTATATATTTATACATAGTAAATAAATTCATAATATTTGCTCCCGGTCAAAACATCTTAGTTTGGTTTTTTAGAGCTACATGTATTTGATCAAGTCTAATGATTAAGTTGTTTGGAAACTAACAAATTACATTTAAACTCAGCATAAGCAAAGTAATCGAACGCTTAGTATTATTTATGTTTAACTGAAAATAAAACTTTGTATAACTATTTAGTTTTACTAAAATTACAAAAACTTTTGAACTTTTGAGTTTTTTGACATTTTTAGTTTAATGCGTAAGATATATCAAATTTATTATGATCATTAAATTTATAAACAACGGCACTTGTGAACGATTTTTGACTTATATCTAAAAATGTAAATCATTAAATTTAAGATGGTTTTAAATTGAATTCGTACTAAGCCTAAAACCTAACAAATGTGTCTTAACTATTTATTAAGACACATTTGTTAGGTTCTTACAGGTTAAAAATCCAGACATTTGTTACATTTTTGTGGGTTAAAAATGTAGACACTGTTAGGTTCTTTCGGGTTGAAAAAGAAGATACGCTTGTTAGGTTCTTCTGGGTTAGTGTTAAGATATTATTAATAAAAGTTTTGAAAACTTTTAAACCCAACAAATTTTTGGCGATTTGTAAACATCCGAAACTAGTGAATTTTGTGTTTTTACTAAAAAAGATGAGAACTTTAAATTAATAGACGTTTACAAATTACCAAATATTTATTGCATCCAAAAGTTTGACTAATAATAAAAACTTGTTAATAATAAAAACTTGAAATTGGTTAAATAATATTTAAAAAAAAACAACTGAAGCTATTTTTTTTTTAATATATTAAGTTTAAAACTTATAAATTTCCGGAAAAAATTTTTTTTTAACTCAGGAATCTTTGTAAACTATAAGATTAATCATAAGCATAAAAATAGAAAATCCAGAATATTTTGTAAAAAAATATTTTGGATTTGTCATGCGTTTACATTAATAAAGCAAGTTTAAAATCCGGAGGCATACGAGAAGCCGAAAAAGACGATTAGAGCAGGTATTTGTGTTAATAAAACAGCTCAAAAAATATAATTTTTGTTTATAACACAAATTTTAATATAAGTTATAATAGCTAGCGCGCTCGCAATTACATTCCAGGTCCTAGTTAATAAAACAAATTCATTACTGGCATCATTATAATGCATCGTTATATCATATGACATATGGATGTTATTTACTTAACAAAATGTATGACGTAATTATAGTCAATTCTATTTATGAATGTTATTGACGTAAAAATAAGTAAAAACATTCATTACGTTAACAAGGAAATTTGATTTAATTTTATTTTGGTTTAGTAATTTGTCGCATTTGAATTATAAAATTCTTTCTGTATTTTTGTTGTTGTAAAAGTTTAACAATTAAAGTTGGAATTAAAATTAATATAAAAAAAGGAACGATTTTAAAAACTTTATAAATAATATCAAAGTTTATTGTAAAACACAAATAACGTTAACGACGTTTAGTC